GACAGTCGCGAAATTTTCGATTTCTTCATATTTTGCCCAAATAACCTCTATAGTGAGTTGTTTTCGAAAATACCATTCAAAGGTCCTGAAGCGCTTTACTTTTTTCGAAATCGAAGAAATTTGAAAATCGTCATTCTAGCTGCCTGACGCCGCCGAAAATGACCGAAAATTGTGCATTTTCTTTTCACTCGTACAGATCAACGCGATGATATCTATCAATATACTTTGGGTAGCTCATAGTGCATGTCTTGCTGTTTCTTAAGCATTAATTTGATTAGCAGAAAGCTCCAAGTGTAATAATATTTCAGGCCAATACAAGTACCTTCATCGAAGCTCGTGAGCGAAAGGGCTAATTTTAGCTAATTTCAATACCATCAAAAGCCCACTGGTACATTCAGTCTGAAGTCGAAACTAAAATTTTCTGAAAGCCCATACTCTATATTATGTTGTGTGAAAGTCTCTTCCGGGGCCCGAAAAAACTAACCCGTCGAAAGACAAAAACGTGAGATACATTTTTGTAAATTCGTCGTTCTTGAAACCAGCATGGAACTTGGCCAGCTACGTTCATCAAGAACAACAAGAAGCTATTTCTCAGAAACAAATATTGTTTCGTTTCCGCAAAGATATTCAAAGCCTGAGAAAGGCCGGGGTTTTGATATCTTGTGCATGAGAAGTCCCGGGGTGAGGGGGATATGTGCTAATGCGCCGCTTTGCACCGCACTGATCTGTTCAGTTGCTAGAGCCTGGGGTTTTTCGTCCAGGTGAGGTTTAGTACTTAAACTATTGTAAAAGTGCAAGGGCTGATTAATTTAAGTTGTCTACACATGTATCAGTTATTACAGTCCACGCGCTTCGAAATGTATTTACTTTTGATACTTCACTTTGACTCTGCCCTAGGGGAGGGGGTGCTCCCTTATATCGGCTATATAGGTATGTCCAGCGTCAGAGGGACATGTTTTTTTAAGACAGTTTATTCAGTTGTAGAGTATCGATTTCGGTCATTTTGGTCTCAAACTGGGTATGGTTTTTGCACTCTAGTNCAACGCGCTTCGAAATGTATTTACTTGTGATACTTCACTTTGACTCTGCCCTAGGGGAGAGGGCTACTCCCTTATATCAGCTATATAGGTATGGCCAGCGTCGGAGGGACATTTTTTTTTTAAGACATTTTAGTCAGAAGTAGATTATCGATTTTGGTCATTTTGGTCTCAAACTGGGTATGGTTTTTGCACTCTAGTCTTGAATTAGGTATGTTTTTTAGAAGAAGCCACGTTTTTCATTATTATCGATAAGACCAGCAACTAAAGCCATTCACAATACCTTTTTCTGAACTAGAGAACTGCGGCAGGTCTGAAAGAGGGTATTAATTTAAGGGACTGGCCATAAATAGGTTAGAAAAATCGCAGACTTTGGTCTTAAATAGGGTAAGCGTTTTGGGAAGCGGGCCACACAGCCCCGCCAAATTTTTCAGAAATTCAAAGTATTGTGTGTGAGGCTAAATAAAGCTAAGAGGNGAAACAAAACACAGATTGCAAGTATCCTTATTGACGAAAAAGGTTTCCATTCGCTTATTTTTGTTCTTGATGAAGATAGCTGGCCAAGTTCCATGTTGGTTTCACGAATGATGAATTTACAAAAATGTACCAGACGTTTATGTCTCTCGACGGGTTAGTTTTTTCGGGCCCCGGGAGAGACTTTTACACAACATAATATAGAGTATGGGCTTTCAGAAAATTTTAGTTTCGACTTCAAACTCAATGTACCAGTGGGCTTTTGATGGTATTGAAATTAGCTAAAATTAGCCCTTTCGCTCACGAACTTCGATGAAGGTACTTGTATCGGCCTAAAATATTACTACACTTGGAGCTTTTGCTAATCAAATTAATGCTTTAGAAACAGCAAGACATGCACTATGAGCTACCTTAAGTATATTGATAGATATCGTCGCGTTGATCTGTACGAGCGAAAAGAAAACGCACAATTTTCGGCCATTTTCGGCGGCGTCAGGCAGCTAAAATGGCGATTTTCAAACTTTCCTCGATTTCGAAAAAACTAAAGCGCTTCAGGAGCTTTGAATGGTATTTTAGAAAACAACTCACAATAGAGGTTATTTGGGCAAAATATGAAGAAATCCGAAATTTCGCGACTGTCATCTCATTCTCGGTATTTACAGGAATTGGCTCTTAAAACTGTCAGCTATTCGTCTTCGTGTGGACTGAAAACGTTTTGAAAACGGAGCTTTTCGAAAACGGTGGCGTTTAGATAATCATGGGAATTCTCTGATCGATCCTCAAACACAAATTCGAAATGACCGGTTATATATTGTTGCGTTTTTAAATTCCTCCCGAGTACTGTGGACGGAAAGCATTTGATGCGTTTTCGGAGCGAAACTTCCGTTTTCAAATTTCTTTGGTGTAGTGTGGACGGGGCCGTATTTCGGACTAGAGCAATGCCACGAGAACAACAGAGCTGCAGTAACGTAATTTCCACTGCTAACCTGTGACATCAATATAGAATTTCTTAATCTNTATCTTGTTTACATTGGATTTTAATACGTAACCGGAAATGCGTAATTTACCGGAAGCTCAAATTTGTACTCATGCGCAGTGCGTTTTACCGCGGTGTTCATGTAGCTACATGTAGCAAACAAAACATTGAAATATAAAAACGAAGATTCTGGTAGGCCTCCAAACACAACACAACATCCTTCAGTTAGTTTAATTGAATTTATTGGTTCGTGTATCATTATTTCACGGGTCTTAGTGTCACGTGGTGCGTATCTACTCCGCGCGAATCGAGTCGAATCGTCAAGTACCTCAGACTAATCGTCTCAAGTTTGTTGTCACGTTTTAAGAACTAGTAAGATTCCTGTATCATTATTGTTCACAGGGCTTGACTTCCGGTGGTTCGGATCGACTCGAATCGCTAAGTACCTCAGACGAATTGACTCAGTTTGGGTGTATTCAGGGGGACATGGATCAATTATCATGTTAGAAATCCTGGTATTGTTCATAACACACGTCATACTTCTCAGAGACCTTACACCTTTGCGTTTTTTTTTTTTCTCGCTTAAACGACTAAATTCGACTTCCTCTGAACATGATTAACAATAAAGTCCGTCTATTTATAGACTTTACTTGTTTAAATCAAGCAGTCAAGTTAGGATGTAGGCACGTTTAGTTCCGATATTTGCCGATTTTATTCAAACCAAGTATATAGAGGTCTGTGGAGATCACCGAGTCAATCAAATCAAAGTTCATGTAAGTTAGGGTCTGTTGTAAGAAGCTAAATGACATAACGCCAAAATATCCCACGAGACAGATTGAGATTCTTTCTCTTCCCGCTACAGCGAGTTCATAAGACTTAGAGGAAAAAACGCATTAATTTTGGAAGGACACAACTCTGATTTCTCGGTTTAGCCTAAAATTTCACACTGATGAACGCGTACTGAATATAGAAAACGCTCTTGAGAAGACGGATTGAGATTGAAATTGCACAGTGTCCGGACTACGTTGGGACAGGCTTAGGAAGCTTGGCGAACCTGGAACCTTCCTTCTCCCCAATATCGAGTGAGTCTATTGAATACACACGCTCAAGGAAGCGACATGACAGTGGCAGATCAACATATTTTAAACTTGCAAATGTCTTCAACTATGTAACAAGTTGTCAGCTTTATTAATTTTGTTTTGTTTTGGTTTATTTTTAGTTTTTAGTTTACAAGTTTAAAATTCATTAAACTTAGTTAAAACCGGTCATAAATTTTTATTCGCATTTTTTGCCTTCAGGGTCAGAAGACCTTCACCAACTCTTTATCGTCTTTCGTTATGGATTTTAACAGCTGGAATATCTTGTGGGAGTTCTGTTTTGGATTATTAGCTGTACTGATTGTCGTCGGTAATTCTCTCACTATCTGGATATTTCTCAAACAGAAAATTCGCAGACGGGCTCATTTTCTGTTGATAAGTTTGGCTGTTGCTGATCTGTTGGTTGGACTGCTAACTGTTCCTCTTTACATGGTAGTCAACTTAGATACATCTGCACGGGAGCGTTTCCATACCAGCGTCTATGTTGACATTTGCACCGGTCTCACTTCCATCTTTACGCTTGCTGTTGTTTCCTTGGAGAGGATGTACGCTGTCGGCTGGCCTCTTCGCCACAGAACTCTCCGCCTGCGTACTTACAAGTTTGCCATTGTCACACCGTGGATCTTGGCGGCAACCGTCACGTCAATGCGGGTATTGCGTGACAACCGCTTAATAGGACTCACGGGCTTCCACGTCGTCATTTCTGCGTCACCTGCCGTCCCTTCATTAGTGATTTGTTCCGCGTATTGTGTTATTTGGTGGAAGGGAAAGAAACGGATGAACAGCCATAATCAGCAGATACAAAGAGAAACAAAACTGGCAAAGACTTTGTTTTTGATTATGGGAGCTTCTTTGTTAACTTGGCTTCCATTCCAAATAATAACTATATCGGGGTGTTCTCTGTTCAGTAGAATTAATCCATTTGGGATGATGTATATTATCAAGCTCTTACAATTCAGCAATTCGCTCGTAAATGTAATCATTTATCCTTTCAGAATTTCAGAATTTAAGGGTGCTCTGCTAAGAATGCTTCGAGGCTTTGTAACTCCATTTAACCGTAAGACCAGCAGGCGTAGGACTGAAGACGTGAATCATAAAACCGCCATTTAACACCACCTAGTTAACAATTATTCCACAAGCGCGCGTTGGATATGAGATGGTAGATAGCCAACGAGGCGCGTAGCGCCGAGTTGACTTTAATCATTTCATATCTAGCAAGCGGAAGCTGAATAAGCTATGACGACGGCGACGCCAGGGACGACGTCCAGTAACAGTTTTATTTTTTACCTTCGAATTTCGCAGCTGTACAGATTTGATCAGTGCACCTATCTGTCTTACTATCTTAACTTACTGAAGCTAAATGTGTAATGTCAGCGTTCAATTCCAAATTAAAATACGAAAAATTAGCCGCTGCCGTTCGCGTTCTCCAAAATACGCAGAATCTGGTCATTTCACGTTGTAGCTTTGCAGAGGACGACTAAGAAATGTACAAAGATTTATAACGCACGTGCGCAGCCGTTGTTCTACTCATTAAGCCTGTTGTTTGGTGGCGTTCTCGTTGCCGTTGCCGTCGTGGTTTGCTTAAGGTCCCTATAGTTTCAGTAAAAACGCGCCCACATAGAAAACTAAAGTAAAATAATGATAAAAACGCCCCCAAGAATTACGCGTAAAGCTTACCATACTCGTAGCTAGAACATGGTTTAATTGCTCATATGTAATGATGGCTAACCCAATGAAAACTCTTGAATTGCGTTTTCCAGTGATCAAGTTTTGAATAAAAGGAATGATTCCACAGTTCTGAAACTACAAGTGATGTAACATGACAATAACAATTTTTCAGGAAAATGTATTTTATTGATAAACTCGTTATAACACAATATATAAAGTTTCTGGAATTAACACTCGAATGTACAAGAAGATAGGAGGGTAGTGGATGCCCCCCCCCCCCTACCATATCACTTTCCCATGCACGGTCTTCTTTTTAATAAGCTAATTTATTGGGAATATAATATATATGTATGTTTCGGTTCATTGTTTCTACACTTTGCATTGTTTTTGTTGTTGTTGTTGTTGTTTTTGTTTTTTTTAAAAAAAAAAAAAAACGAAGTAGGCCTATAAATTATAGTGATGACCGAAGTAGCCTTGTAAATTGTAGTGGTAAAATGCGAAGTTAAATCACTATTAAATGGAAGATCCATAACAAGGATTTTTCTATCTCATTTCTCCGAGTACGTCTGTTTCATAAGATTCTATATTCGCCGCAGAAATAATGCGTTCCAACTGTTAGACTTACGAGGAAGGGCTGGGGGAGTCGGCGAAAACGCCCCCTCTAGCCTGCATTACAGACGTTCCCATCCTATTTTCCGTGCGGGGAAATCGAGCAAGCAAAGCGAGCAAACCAACACGCCTTGGGTGAGCAAAAGAATGAGAGAAGGGGTAGGGGTGAGCAAAAAAAGGAGGAGAAGTGTGAGAGGGTGGGGAGGAAAGGATTCATTTTTTTGCCCCACCCCTTCCCCTTGTTCCTTTTCGCACTCGCTCGCAGTTTCAATCCCTTCACATGCTTTCGGAAGTGAACCCCCCCTTGTTTAACCACCGCTCTCCCTCCCCCTCCTCGCTGTTTCACGCCCGCTACGCCGGTTAGCTCCCAGGCTCATTCGGCGGGTGTTATCATGACAATGGGAGAGGAGGGTTAGATGAAGCCTCCTGTTACTGATGTTGTGC